AAGTGGAAGTTGAACCGCACCCAACTTCACGTTTAAGTGCAACACCTCATACCTTGTCTCTATTTTATTTTCGCGAGTAAAATTTACGTGCGTGTACACGCACGGGAAAATTACGCGATAGTGGAAATCCACCCTTAGGCGGATACTGAGTATTGCAACAGCCACTCCCGAAAGAGCAAGCCAGCTAGCCTGCGTTTAGCCGTCATATAAGACACACTTTCACGCAACGATCAACCCCAGAGAAAAGCGCGGCGTGGCAAGGGAAATGAATACAGCAAAAAAGTAAATCATAGTGATGTGTGTATCATTTCCTTGTGTATCATTTGTTAACCTGTGAGCAAGCTTTTGGGGGCGCTCTGGGGGTGGACAGCTTGGTCACAGGCTAATCGACCAGTCAAAAATTCGTACGTACCTTTAGGTGCTCCGTACACATGGAACCACGCTAGCCGTACGCAAATTTGAACACCTAGCCGTTCAAAAATTTGAACGCAAAAATCGAGGTCAAATTTTTGACCGGTACAGTCAAAAGTTTGAACGGCAAGGTGTGAACACTGTGACCAGCTAAATTTTGTACGGCAAAGGCGTGGCTGCATGGATGCGTGGTTACGCAGCTGGAAAAAGAGAGGAAGATTACGAACATGGATTTATGAGTCGTGTAATGACTCGCTTTGATTGGAAATGTTACGGTTCGACAGTTCAGTGTGAACAGAGCAAAAATATTGAATGGTTCCGTATCTTCAAAGCGTCCGGTCAAATTTTTCAAGTGGTTGAAAATTCGACAAGTACTGTGTGAACGTACTCTAAACCTTTTCTTTTTTTACGTTCTCATTGGAGTCGTTGCCGTCGCGTCGTCGAATCTTAAAGTCCCTTTAATCGTTTAAAATCGCGATTATAGCGAAAAATAATAGGTGGTTTTCACGTTACGTCATCGCCGCCATGCTGGTGGACGGTAAACAAAAGATCGCTCATTAGCTCGCTTTGTTTGTCCACCAGCATTTGTTCATTTCACCATTGTTATTTGTGTCTCCCGAGATTGCATGAAAACCACCTATTGTGAGAAAAAGGTAGTAGGCTACAACTTGAAACCTTACTTCCTTAAATTGAACTCAAAAGGCAGCTTATCGTCATTTAAGCCAGCTCGTAAATTGATCACGACCAGCTCCATCATTTTCATTTCCGTGCTTTAGTGCAGCTGCTGATCCAAAGTGTGGTGTCAAAGTAACGTTTGCCATTTCAACAATGGATGATCTCTCAGCAGAGGCTTTGGTTGTGTTACGTCAAGCGCTGCGGCTTCTTTTCACTCCTTTCTTCAATGCGTCAGTCAAGTCATCATGATTAACAATTCCTCCACGTGCAATATTGACCAATGTTGCTGTTGGTTTCATTAGGGCGTGCTCCTTTGCTGACAACATTTGACTCGTTTCTGATGTAAGCGGTGTGCACGGTACAACAAAATCTGACTGAGACAGCAGATCTGAAAAATTGCTGCTCAAGTGAGCACCTGGAAAATAAAATAGATGATAGAAATCACGGCTGCTCAGCGAGCGAAGTAAGCCGAGCGTGGCCTGCGGAAGAAAAAAAGACAAGGGAGCCTGTAGACTTTGTTTTGATGCCGCCCATCCAGGATACCGGATTCTAGTATCATGATCTGATTGGTCAGATCGCTGGCTGTTGACAAGTGAGCGATGAGTATTGGATGAATGTATTCCCCATTTCGCGAAAAATACGCACGTGCACGCGAATGTTACTGAGGCCAATGACTGGTTCAAGCGTAAAAAACATCATAACTTGATAGGTCGAATTACCTTATTGACATGTTAATGACATGTGTTACAGGACAACCTCGTCCCCAGGGCTTTTCCCTTAAAAAATGGCCGCCCCACCCATTTTCTAAGGGAAAAGCCCTGGGTACGAGGTTGGTTACAGGATAAATGCAAATGAGCAGATGGGCGGCATCAAAACAAAGTCTACAGGATCCTTTGCCTTTTCTTTTCACCCAGGCCACGCTCGGTTCACTTCCCTCGCCGATATTCTTTTTCACCCCGATCCACTTGAGAGCCTGTTTGCAGACTAGGCGAGAGAGGACATAAACCTTTGTGTGTAAAGAAAAACGTTAACATTTGTCGCATGTCAGATTGAGGTATGCACTTTAGGTTCTGACCATCTGAGTCACGTGCCTCAGGAGGTCTTGCGTGAAGTAGTACGCTGTGCATGGGCTGGTGACGAATTGAGGTTTTCTGTTGAAGTGAGCGAAACGTTTTCCCTAATTTCGACTTTCAATCGAATATTTTCCCTCTACCTTGTCGGTAGAAGAATAATCTGATTCAATGGAAACGTCCTGTTTAACTCAGCAAGCGATCAGCACATTTGTAAATGGTTGGTTCACCCGTTATGGGTCTTATGGTGCGCAACGGACCATTTTTTCAGTTGTGACTTAGTACCCAAGCCTTTGAGTGAACGTGGGTAGTTTAAGGTTGACCGACCTTGTTTATAGATACCGACCACACCTTTTCAAATTCTAAAAAGATACTGAATACGCTGAGGAGAACAAGATTAACTGATAACAAAACAGGAGGGATTAACATCAAAACAAGAAGAGGTATTGTGAAAAGCTTCAGAGACAACTGCACATGAAAACTTCAGGAGCAAGCCAAACCAACAAGGACATGAAGCATGCTACATCTATATATTAAACAGAGATACATTTATATGACCAGTGTCTCAGTTTGTTGGACTCGACTGGACATTCTGAGGTAGATAAATAGACAGTTCACTGATACAGCTCAGTGGAAATGTCAATTAACTATACCGACATCTGTAAGCTAGTGAGGTCAAGTAAATAGCATTTCATTCATAATCGAAATACTTATCGCCAAGAAACCGCGGTATAGTTTCATCCTAGGCGTTCACCTATTTGCGAGCTGGAAAAAGGGAGTGTCACTACCTCCGATAAAGCTAATCTTCGAGATGCTTTCCTACGTCAAAGCCGTCCTTTTTGCTATCGCTATTAGCTTTGAAATGTCCTCTATAGCTCAAGCGACACTTTACGCTAACTGCAGCTTTGTGGGGTTAAAAACATTACAGAAAAGTGAAAACAAGTCTTCGTTAATAACATTAACGTCTGAGCTTCCTTCGTCAAGAAACGGCTGCACCGTAAAGGCAGACAACGCAAACAGTATTTTATATTTGAGAGGTAAAAGAAACAACGATTCGAAAGAAGGTGAGTTAAATCCGGACCCTCGGGATAGAAAGCTATCACTAGAGGGCTAGGTTGGTTATTCATGATCATGTAATTACTATTTCGCGCATTGCAGTATTCAGTGAAGGTTTCCATCTCGTTTCAGTTTGTTTTACTTACAAGGCCTTGCAATGCAACCCGTTTACTTTCAACCTAGGGTCTTGACAAGATGTCTTCAAGACTTTGCCCGTTTTGGTTTTCTTGAACTCATATTTTGTCAATTAAATAGCCCAGAACATGCAATCGATAGTCGATATCGCGAATAATACGAAATGCGACACAGACTAAATTTACTGAAAACCTCTTCAGCCGCCAGAGCCGTATGACTGAAGGGCTGAAAACCCAGTAAACTGTTTTGAATTATATTCTGAACTTACTCTAACTCTTTACTAGTGCAAGAGAATTATTTGCCTTGAGGGAGCCAGACATCAATTGTTTATTGAAATGAAGTGCCATCATGGTTTTATGGTTTTGTATTCATCGGCCTTGATCGGATGACCGGGCACCGACACATAACTACGAATTGCATTGCAGCTATGCTGGACTAACAAACTCTCCGACGTAAATTACAGAGGCGAAGGAGCGTTTTGAAACGTGCATGGGGGAGCTCATCTTTCACTCAGTCATGCGCATTAACTCCTACTCAGATTTTCAAAAATGCCTTTAGCGTTGTTCGTTGCCCCATCAAGCCTCCTTGTAAACTTCATAGTGTCTAGTGTGCCGGAATCGATTTTTTTCAGGCTGTCCTGCTTCGTGTAGTTCTTGAGTTGTCTTAGGGCAGAAAATGTGCGCTCTGAAGTCACCGATGCCATAGATATTGCGAGGGCTTGTATGATCCGGATGTAAACCCACCACATAGGGTGGGATTACATCCGGGGAGGGGAGACTGGTTAGGAAAGCCGGCAAACATCAAAGTTGAAAACAACGGTAGTGTAGTTTATTTTGGAAGCTCCCTGACCGTGCACAATCTTTTGTTACATACATATTGCTGGTTTTCAAAGTCACGCCATTCAAAATAGATCAAAATAAAAATCACAACCGTTCAATCCGCGTTCAATAGATAAAGTCCAGAATCTGGGAAATGAAAGTAGGTACATGTACAAAGACCCTCGCCCAGATTCAGGTCAGAGGAATATTTCGTATACGAGATATCCGAAGAAATGTTTTACCCAAACTTATACTGAGATTTGTATGGAGACGCCATGCTGGTCGGCTCACCTGGATGAGCTCCAATGGGCGGACGGAAACCAACAGAAACATCTGTTACCGAGTTTTGCTACAGAAGCGTGAATTTATTCTTCGAGAAACTCATAAAGATTAAAGTAATACTTTTTCTAATACATGAACTGTTAGATAGCAAAGTTTCCTGAAATAAGTCGTTTTTTTAACCCACATGACGGCTCTCTTGGCCGTCATGTAAGTGCCGCGTCACGCAAAAGCCTAGAAATTCAAGCGTACTCTATCACAACACCAAGAACCCTTTTAATGCGAAAATTTGTATGAAAAATAGTTTTCAGCTGTTCTAATGCATCGTGAAAGGAAAATCTCGGTAGGATCGATAGTTTTTTAGTTTGGATCTTAGCGACGTCAAGTGAAAACCAACAATAAAACGTGATACATATTTGAAAGGCTTTGTGTTAACTTGAACGGCTTTCTAAAATTCATATGACGTATTGCTGTCTTGAATAGTTAGGAATTATATTTTCGTCGATTTTCTCGAGCTTCTACAAGAGCATCCAACCTTCAATTCAGTTTTTGTATGATGGATTGCTGTTCCTGTTTGACAGGTTTTCTTTACCTATCAGTCTATGGCAAAGGCAACACCTTCAACCCTGAGGGTTATCTGGACCTTTCAGAATCTTCAATTCACGACCAGTGGGAAAGTCTGACGTTCTGTCCGTCCAAATCAGGAGATGATACGATGGAAAAACACCTCACGCTTTCAGGAACACCCGGAGTGGGTTTTACAGTAGAAGCATCTCAAGACAATGGAATAGGCCTCGATGACCCTAAAGAGTTTGAAATAAATGAACGGAATACTGTAAATGTCTTTCAGTTTATCCCACCTAAAGACATCTCAAAGACGCAGCTTGATATAACGGTTATTTCCGACTCGGATGTCCCATCTTACTTGAAAGTTTCACAAAACTGTCAGGACGTTAAGGACAACATAGGACTCGTGGATTATAGGGGCAAGTCTATTCGTCTTACTTTTGCGAGGAAAGGACGTATCACTTTATCCAAGGCATCTATTCCTCCTCTGGCCGACTCAGCAAGCTGGTACATTGGTATTGCTCTAAATAACGCTGCAGGTACAACGCCTTCGAATGCAAATAAAACTGGAACATTAACTTTGAAAAAATCGTTTAGCTACTCGTATGCGGGGCCCATGTCATTCATATGCTTGGTACCCTTTTTCGGTGGTGGCATTGCAGTTGTCTGGGCTTTGATTTGTTTCAAAGAACCTCATGTTCATCCATTTCAATCTTCTAACAGTCCAGTAACAGTAAGTTGGGGCGAAGTCTGCACAGCCATGGGGGACGTCATCAGGAACCACTGGTTTGCAGGAGGGCCCAAAACCTTCTCGTACATCACATGCATTGTCGGTTGCGTCTTGATGGTTGGAGCTTTTCAGTTTGTTTATGCAGAATGGTATTTGATGATTGAAGAAGGCGATAGAGACCATTGTTACTATAACGACTTTTGTTACAGGGTATCAAGTAGCGATATTCCGTTTAATTTAATGAGTAGCAATTTTGCATATATAGTGCATGCCTTTATTTTAGCATTGTCTGTCTGGTACATGGAGGCAGAAGTACTAGCCCGTTGTAAAAAAATAGATTCCGAGGAACACAAAAGGAAATTTTCCTTTTCAATAGGTTACGCTTTTGCGTGGGCGTTGTTTTTCGAGGGGTTGTTTTCAACACTTTACCATCTTTGCCCAAGTAAGATCACATTTCAGTTTGATACGGCATTTATGTTCGTCATTTCAGGTTTGATTGTCGTTGTGATGTATAATGGCATTAAAACAAAAAACTGCCAGGAAGATGGAGAGGCGAGAGATAATGTGGGAGCACCAAATTTCTTCCTTGCCTTTATAGTCCCACTTTATATTTTAAACTATCTCGGTTCACTGAATCACTACAGGGAAGGTCTTGTCCCAACGGCGGCCTGGGCCGTACCCCTTGCTCTTTGGTGCTTTGTTATTGTTAACTGGGTTGGCTATAAATTGTATTTTAAAGACTGGAAGCGGTGTTCGCTCTTGGAAGGGGACAAGTGTAAAAAATGTATTGGCCTTACTATTGGTGTGAGCATAGCAGTCCTTCTGCTATGTTTGATGACGATTATCGATAGCCTTCCACAAGCGCTTCTTTTTACTTGTATTGCAGAAAGCATATTCGTTACTACGATGAAAGTCTGCTTGGGGCGCGAGCGTGAGTGTGAGTGTGATTGTAAGTGTAAGTGTGAATGTTGTTCTTTAAAACGTTTTTTCACTTGGTTCTATGTATTGATAACCATAGCGTTTTTAGTTTCCGCATTCTGTATTTTTAAGGCCTTTCCAACAACAGATAAAGCAAACACTCCTGAGAAATCTCGTAATAGAAACCACGAATGCAAATGGTTCGGTTTCTTCGACTACCACGATATCTGGCACTTTTTGTCTTCATTTGGTCTGCTGATGGGAGCACACCTTCTGATGTATGCCAGCCATACTGCTCCGAGCAACGATAGCGGTGAGAGTTCACTTGACAGGGTGAAAAGTCGGCAACAGCGTAGCGAGGGATTCAGCAACCCTGGTTTCCAGAGTCCGGGCGACGAAACACCCATGGAGGCGGTATCCAATCAATCAGTGTGATTGTGCTTTTACTGTCCCATAGACGAAAGCAAAGGCTTACCCATTAAAATGTTAAAATCAGGCTAAATAGAATTCGGAAAACTGCTCATTAAAAAAGTCTCAAAAGAATTAGTGACCTATACATTTCCTTCGTTTAAACTCTTTTTCCTGTTTTGAGGTCTGATTTTAATATATGAAGTTCTACAGTACTACTGCAAAACAAAAATACTATGTTGACCAATCAGCGACCGTTGAACCAGATTCCGACTGAGCAAACCTACGTACGTCATCAGTATGGAATTTGGGCTGAATCGCAGACTTGATGAAAGAGGAGAGACGGCTGTATTCGCTATGTTACACACTCCTGAAAATTGTTTGTCAAAGACGTTACTTCAAAATTGCCTCCCATGGCGGCAGGATGTATACGTGTGTCAGTTTAGACTCTTTTCGTTTCTCGGTTAGTGGTGTGTGGACCTCTAGTAACATTGCACCTTTCTAACCTCGGCTAAGATAAGAAAATCTGAATAACCAATACCTCGTTCAGAAATGAGTTGAATTGTTTTTGGGGAAAAAACCTATTTTGTACTCTATAAAGGGCACTCAGTACTTTAAACAAAGATGATTTTAAAATGCCTTAAAATCTAGTCATGCATTTATATGTAGATATCCAATTGTATTAACCTTTTTGATCCATTGATTTTTTATTATTGTATGCAGTTACTTAGAAACTCCTGGACCTCTCGGGAATAAGCCACTTTTTATCGTTGACAACGAACTTTCAGTCAACTGACAGAGAAAAAGCCTTTTCTATTCACAAACTCAGTAAGGCCACTTAACGGCGAGCATTCATAAATAGCATTTTCATGAAAATCCCAATGAGAACATGAACAGACTTTTTGTAAAGTGAAATGTAGGTCTTAATGTAGGTCTGATGTTGTCCGAGAGTCGATTGCAATAGGTAGCCTGTGCATAGTCGCCCCCTCCAAAGAGGGGAGGGAGCATCTGTGCTGACACAGTCAAGAGCCTACACACAGTAATCTTTTTTAACCCTTTTTAATACATATTATATCCAGGAAGAAAAGTTGATGTTGAATAGTAGGATTTTAGAACATCATTATCTTGTATTAGAATTTTGTATTTTGGTAGCTTTTTTGCACTAATGCAGCTACGATAATTACGTGAAACATAGTCACGTAATAGTGATACTCAGGCTGAAGTCACCTTTTGAGTGAGTTTAGGCAACAGGACGGCAAAATGCTTACGTGTGACAAACGTGATAGTACTATTACTTGCGTGTTTTATCGTGATCTTCACTTAACTTTAATTTTTCCTATTCGTTTACAAAAAGATCTGTTTAAAGAAAGGTGAAGTTTGTGGCGGAAACGCAATTATGGTCACGCGTGTCACACAAAGTTTGTCGTCTTCTTTCCTCTCCCGTCCTGTTGCGTACTGCTGATGTGCCACTGGTTCTTTGAAACAAAAGAACTATCGGGGATTTAGAGTGTCTGCGACGCAGACTAATAGGACTTATGGCGGACCTGACGTCATCATGGGAAAACGCTCTTTTTGAGTCACTTTAAAATAAGACTTAGTTAATATGCTAGCTTCTTAACTATAAAATAAAAGTGTTTGTCAGATCTACTGCGTGTGAATTTAAAAACCATTAAACTTTTTAAATTTTCTTCGCTAAGTCTCATTTTGTTTGTATCTTCAGCTGCGCTGTTAACCTACTTGCGAAAGCGTGAAGTAATAATGACTGAACATTAACCAAGTATTCTTGATCTTCTTCGCGTCTACAAAGACCGAGACGTCTAGGCCCATAAAATAGGAAAAGGAACAAGGCCAATACCCATCTCGACCCTGAACAGGCGATTTATTAATATATGACAAAGGAGACGGATATTTACGTGGAAATTTAGTTTTGCCAAGAGCCATAATGGGACAGAGACGGAAACGCCCAGTCTAGCCCTGGGGATATGTGAATTTCACCAAAGTTATTTTTAGACTAATTAAACGCTTGAATTAATCGGGAATTGGTTTCCGGAGAGGTCCGTAAACTTTTATTTAGCGCTGTCAAGAAATAATGGCGTCCCGCGTGGAGGTGCGTTTTATCGACGAAAGTGATTTTGTGAACAAAGGAATTGGTTTTATCTTGAGAGATTGTTCCGATTGGGAGCTAGATTCCACGATTTCGTTGGAGATGACTGATTTGCTAGATGATATATCAATTTTTGTATAGGTAATAGCATGATTTGTAGTGATATTTGGCGTAAATACCACGAGTGATATTTCGAAATTGTTATACGTAATTTCACGAGCCATTAGGCGAGTGAAATTTGAGACAATTTTGAAATATCACGAGTGGTATTTATGCCAGATATCACGTACAAATCATGCTATTACTTGTTTATACTACTACCCACAAAAGGTTTGTAATTTTCACATGTAGGTATTTCAAATTAAGCTGAAATACCACTGCTCTAAGCCAATCAGATTGCAGAAATTTCTCATGTTGTAGTATAATAGAAGGAACTGAAGTTCGCTGACAACGATCATAAGCACAGAAATTTCAATTTTCGGCACTGGAACCTCGGCAGAAAGAAAAAACAACAACAAAAGGCAAACGGAGGAGTGGGAGTAGTAATAGACGAGGGGTTCTACGAAGTGGTGGAGGTGGTGGAGTGACGTCACAATAGCTCAGGGGATTAAACTGATGAGATCATCATCTAAAAATAGAAAGGTATTCTGTAAAACAATCTAGGGAGTTGACGTCATCAAAAAAACGATGAGATCATCATCAAAATAATCATTTAATATGGTAACTGGTGAGATGACATCATCAGCTTAAATTAGAAAGGGTTTTTTGACATGATCAGCTATTTTCTATAGTCTATGACATCATTATTTATTTTTATCTTTTTAAGACCATATAAATGAAGGTTATTATTATTATTAATTATTATTGTCATCCAAAACGAAAATGGGTATTATTCAGTCTTTCATAAGAATAAAGCTTAATTATTATCGTATATCGCGAGGGCCATAGTTCCCCCCTCAAAAAAAATAACGTCTCTCAAGAAAAAATTTTGCGACCTCCAGGGTCAACAATTTCCAAGCTGAAAGAACTCCATTCTGAAGTATTTCTAAAAGTTAATTGGGCAGACTCTTGGTGTTCTTGAAATTTGCAGAGGATCTGGAACTGACGCAGGAAGATTGGGGACAGTTATATGCTGTTATTTATCCCACTTTAATATATCAAATCTGAGAGCAGTTATATTAGGCGATGATGTAGGCAGCAAAATCATTTAAGACTCGAACATTGCGAAGTGATTAGAGCGATGGGTTGTTGTCCACCATCGACCACTTTTGAACATCGTTAGTCAGTTAATTATGCGAGTTCGCAAGCCCACCGTTGCATACAAATTAGTACAGCTCTGCAGGAAAAGCCCCAAGAGAGAACCTTCAAGTGACTTATTATCATAAAAACAATAAAAACATTAAATAACTTAACAAGGATCAATTAAAACACGCGACTTACAATTGTGAGCAATAAAGTTTTTAAAAAACTTTATTAAAAACCAATAACAAAAAGAGCCAAAATACACAGCGATTTGAAAGGAAAAGGAATGAAAATTAATCCTTTGATTGACTATTACAAATTCGTTTTCTCCGTTTTATTACGAGGAATAATAAATAATCCTTCCGAGTCTACACAATTTTCCTATAGCCTCTAAGCCAAGAGTTCGACTTTCTTTGTTTCTTTCGGTTTATCTTGTTCTTTGTAGTTGTTTTTTTAGCTTTTGCTTTAAAAGAGGCTTTATTTCTTCGTGATCTTGACAGTTCGTACACCGTTTCTTGTGTCTGTACTGGGCTGCGAGTACTAGTTTAGTGATTTTTTCCGGAATTATCCGCTACACTTTCGTAAACGACGACTTTAACTTTAGGCTGCAGTTTCGCCTCTTGTAAATACTGTCTTCGCTGTATGTGGTCTACCTGATGAACATCCGCGAGATGGTTAGCTAATCTGACAAGGTACTTCGCCCTGCACCATGAAATCGGACAGTTTCTGCAAACTCTCTTTTAAACCATGTTCAAAAAACTGTTGACAGTTCGATGGCTGAACACAAATGACTACCATTCCGCAACTAGTCAGGTTATACAGATTATTAGAAAGGCCAAATATAGGCCCGAAAGGCCATAACCAGGCCAGAAAGGCCAAAACCAGGCCAAAAGAGACAAAAGGAGACAAACGGGCCATTTTCAGACATCTGTCCTTTTTCTCGTAAACACGCGTGAGTGTCGCGCGTCGCTAGTTACCCAACAGCTTTTAATATTGGAATCATCATCTTTATTAAGTGTAATCACAAATAACAGTGCCTAATTAAAAAGTTTTGTTCTTCCTTTAGTAACTGGTATTTCAAATTTCAGATTTGTCATATATTGCACAAGTTTACTGTTATTGTTATTATGATCAAGTCATCAATAACACACTTTAAGTTTGGTTGTTTATGGTTTTTAATGAAATGTAACAATACAAAGGTCCAGGAAATAAAATATTCTGTAACATTCATAGCAAGTCAAGTTTCGTTTGTCTTTACGGTGCAGCAATGGGTCAGGAATCTTGAAGAAGGAATCTGAGAACTTAACTTCATCACCGAAGACTTGTTTCCATTTTTCTCCTATGTTTTTAAACCCACAAGTTTGCAGTCAGAATCAAACGTCGCTTGAACCATATAATGGCGAGTTTCTAAGCTCCAAAAGATCACAAACGCAAGGCTTGCGACAAAGGAAAACATGGTGAAAATCAGTTGGAATAAAGACGTTTACNAACCAGCAGGTATCTTAAGTTGTGAATTCACAATGATCCGCAAAGATCAGCATAGCAA